CATGGGGAGAGTTTTTTTTTAAGGAAATTTTTTTTATTCTCTGTAGATCATACTGCATAATTTTTAATCATACTTTACAAACTACTGTGGCTCAACAACTATTCTCTGTGAACTAATCATATTGTACGATGGTCAACATACTGTATGATTTATTTTTAGTTTGAAATCCTAGCTGCTAGATTAATTTAAGTAAGCTTTTAAATCTTGAATTTTGAACTGGTCGTATTGTACGATCAAATCGTATCGTACGAATATTTGAGTACTTGCTTAAATTAACCCCCATGACTATTCAATTAAATCAAGGCTTAATTACTGATTGGTGATCATATTATATGTCTTGGTTCGTACCTTATGATGAACCGAGACTATTTTTGGTCATCCCGAAGATCATACTGAATGATCCCTTGATTTTTGAACTAATCGTACTAGATGATATATAAATCGTATCGAATGACCTGAAAATTTTAACAGATCATACTATACAAATTCGATTGTACCAAATGATGAATAGAGATGAATTTTGTTAGTCCCAGCATTCGTCCTGTACAAACAAAAGAAATATATCATATCGTACTGGACTATAATTATATCGTACTGTATTATATAGTTTAGAAATATTGCCTGTTCGTACTCATTCGTACCATGATGAAATCTTTTTTGAACTAATCGTATTGTACGATATTGGATCATACTGTACGAACATAAATGACTAAATTGAAAAACTTAGGTTTTCTTGGGGCCTGATATATATGTGATACTTTTGTCTTTTAAAAAGCGAGAGAGAGGAATGTGATAAGAAGGGGAACTCTTGAGAGGGAGCTACTTGATGAGATTTTTGGGTTTTTGAGAGGAATGAGAAGGTGAGTTTGTGAGGGAGAAAAAGTGTGAGGGGATCACATGGTTGCTCCAATCCTGCTGCACGCTTACTCCTCATGTTGCCCAAGAAAATCTTATGGGATCTCTCTAAGGGGGAGAGCCTTCAAGGTCTGTATCCTCAAAGGTACTCTGCCTTCTCTAGAAGGGAAAAAAATGATAAGGTTTGCTCCCGTCACTGGGAGGGTGACATAGCGATTGATACTCCGCCACACCGGGGAAGGTGAAAGTGAGATTATGTATAGGCTTCTTCGCCTTACTGTGGAGGAAGAAGGAGAATTACTTTTGAGTTGTGAAATTACTGGAGTGGAGGACTTCGAGAGTGGACATAGGTCAAGTGACCGAACCACTATAAATCTTCTAGTTTGCTTTTTCTGTTTAGTACACTTTACTTACTTTTTGTATCTTACAATTGTTATAACTGCCAGGTGAAAATTTTATTCTAGATCTTTGTTGTGTGATTTCAAATTTTATCACTTATGTTGCAATCATGTTTTAATCATTAACTTCCATTTCAAGTTAGGTTTTTTTAAAAGATTTTAAAAAAAAAAATTAGAACTCTTGTTTGAGATTAGTTATTTATTTCAAAAATTTCTAATTCACCCTCCCCCTCTTGGAGCATCTCGTATTTTCATCATTCACTTATGCATGAAATATAATATTTAATCATTCAAAAAAATTTCTTACAAATATAACTCTCAGACTCCTGTCAATCTTTAAAATACTGTAAGTTGTACATGTGTGGCATCATTATAATAGTTGCAGTCAATCGTGGTATGATAGTCTCTCTTTGACTAACACTAATAGCTTTATCATCTACCATATTTATTGATCTTTCACTAAATTCTCTTTACACTACAGCAATAAACCTCTAACTTTTAGTCTGTTTGGACTCTCCTACATCAAATTAATTCTTTCTATAAATCCTCTCTAAGGCTAATTTGTTACCTTATTTCCTTATTGTCTATAGCCAAAACACCATCCAATTAACATGAATCATTGACCCTTTTTTTTACCACAATGAATGCACTCACTATAGCTTTCTATAGATATTATAAATCAATATCTCCTCGAATAATTATATTTGTTTTTCTTCTCACTAGTATTATCTCTATTTTTATTTCTACTTACTTCATCTATATTTCTCCTATTAACATCATTCTTAGAGCTCTCATCAAGTCTAGATGTTGGTACTGGCAAATCGATCTCTATTCTTCTATCCCAGCCTACCAACTCTAAAAACTCTTAGATTCACCATTTTTATCCCACCCCATAAACTCCCAATTTAAACCCTATAGAATTTTTTTAAAATAATATGAATCAAGTGAGCAGCATACCTAGTAAGGGAAGTAAACTCAACCTCTTATCAGATCATGCTTCGCTGCTCCAACTTAATAAAAGTATCTGACATCTATTGTCTGGTTGAAGGAGATACAAACTAAATCCTGAATTCTACAGTGAACTTATCCCTATTGCAACTTAACCTTACAAATTTATGTCTCCTAATATTTGTAGAGTATATTTTTTTTGTGTGTGCGTACTAACACTTCAGGAACACCATACACCATCCAATGAAGACACAGTGCTCAAGATTGGGTAGAATAGGTCATGCTGTAAAGAGTTTATAATATTCATTGATATATTTTTTCATTTTTGAGTCAAAGTCTTATAAAGGTTTATATTTTCTAAGTAATCTTGCACACACACAGGGGGAGAGAGAAAAATGTTTTGAGAGAGTATTTTTAAGTAAATCATATTGTACGATTTTGGTTTCATACTATACAACTTTGTCTCATACTGTATGACATTAATTCATACTGTACAATCTATTATGCTCTATGAAAATCCTATCAGCTACAGGTTGAAGAAGATACTAATTATATGCTAATTTTATGGTATAATTTGATTTGTATTGTATGTCATAATTAATTATTTTCTTAATTAATCACCTCAATACAATTCATATAATATAACTAATAGTGTACAAAACTGGTCATCCCAAAGATCATACTAAATGAAATCCATTATTTTTGTACTATACGATATCCATAGTGCTAGACGATTGACAGTATACGAAGTTGGCCATCCTATGAGTCATCGTAAGCATACAAAAGGAATTTCTACAGTTCATATCGGAAGATCTTTTAATCATATTAACATTGAATTTGAATTTGGTTAAGTGTATGATTTATTTGGTCAACCAGGTCAAACCATGGGTTGGGGTTTGGTCCGACAAATTTAAAATGACATTTTGGACCCAATGGAGGTAGTCTCATGCAATGGTGAGATTATTTGATTTAAAATATGTGTTTGGGCTCTGAAGGGGCATTTTGGTCAACCATGATTGATGTGGTCAACCAGGTCAAATCAAGACATGGCTTTTGATTCAATACACTCCAAATGAAATTTAGAATTTATTGGAAGAGGTTTCAAGGGTTGGTTTTGAATGAGTCATGTTGAAGTTTAAGGTAAAGATTGATTTTCCCTTAAAAATTTTAGGGTTTAGTTGGCCCATGATCAACTATGGTCCATCAAAAGTTTCAGTTTAGTGTTTAACTTGTCATAAGGATTGTTATGAACATGTTCAAAGGTTTTGCGGATGGTCCCAAGATCAAATTTCACAATATGCTAAGTCCAATGACAAGGGCTATAAATATTTGATGATTTTGCAGCTTTTGAAAATTAATTCAGCTTTAGAGGTTAAAGAGCTCATATTGGCCTCAAATTTGGAGAGTTGATCATAGAAACATATAGAATCAATATCCAACAAATAGATCATGAACTAGAGCTCATTTGGTTAGATTTTGAGTTGATTGAAAAATCACTAAAAAAATGATTAATTTTTTTTAAAAATTTTTTACTAAAAAAATGATTATGTGACTTATACTTTTGGCCTTGATTTTTGGTTTGAATTTTGAATTTTATTTTGGCTGATGAACTTCATGAAAAATGAGGTCAACACATGAATGTAAAATTTATTTTACAGTTCAGCTGCCAATTAAAAAAAAGGGAAATTTACATACATACCACTATATTTATAACCATTTACATATCTAACACCTTAAAATTTAATATTACTCTTATACCACATAAAACTTAATTTTTACCTCACTTCTACCACTCCGTTACGTCTTCCCTCACGGCGTATTCTTCCCGTGGAATTTTCCCGTTCGCAAATACCTCTGCTCGCGAACACAGTCGATCGGGATTCCATCTGCTCACGAAAACCTCTGCTCGTGATCGGGAATACATTCCTTCTGCTCGCTGCTCGCGTCCGGCTGCTCGTGATCGGGAACATCAAACTTTTATTTTCTTCTGTGACCAAACTTCAAACATAAATTTTCATCAGGTGTCGGAGCAGTTCCCTTACTCTTATTTGCATTCTGCGGCTTCTTCCCAAATCTTCTCATCCTAAGCCATCCATGTCCACAACACTGAAATTGATCTGCGCGTTATTGGGTATCAAATACCCTTCAAAATTGATATCTTCTATTACGGAATGGGGAAGAATGAAAAGGCCCAGGAAAAAATGCTTCCTTCTACTTCCGGTGAAATTCTTTAGCATTTCTTAGCTTTTTATGAAAGAAATAGCAGCGATCGCTGGCAGGTAAGGTAGAAAAGTGATCTTACTAGCATTGAGAAGGAAATTTCTCTGGGCGATCTTGCTAAGTCCAATGACAAGGGCTATAAATATTTGATGATTTTGCAGCTTTTGAAAATTAATTCAGCTTTAGAGGTTAAAGAGCTCATATTGGCCTCAAATTTGGAGAGTTGATCATAGAAACATATAGAATCAATATCCAACAAATAGATCATGAACTAGAGCTCATTTGGTTAGATTTTGAGTTGATTGAAAAATCACTAAAAAAATGATTAATTTTTTTTAAAAATTTTTTACTAAAAAAATGATTATGTGACTTATACTTTTGGCCTTGATTTTTGGTTTGAATTTTGAATTTTATTTTCGCTGATGAACTTCATGAAAAATGAGGTCTAACACATGAATGTAAAATTTATTTTACAGTTCAGCTGCCAATTAAAAAAAAATCATGGTGGAAGACACCATCAATCTCTTTAGGCCGTTTATACTATATTTTCCGTTTAGCTATTAAATTACACTCTGCTCGAGAAACTAGAGGCTATGCTATTCTGTAGTCTATCTTTTAGGCTTCTGAAAAAGCTATAAATATGCTTCACCCCTTCCTTCATTTATCTGCCAAAAGGCTGCTTGCCTTTTACTCATGCTACCAATAAATTGAAGCAGGCTTACTCTTCTCTACAACAAGTAGCAGCTCATAATGATGTTTAGAGAAATTATTTTTCTTCTGAGTTTGGGACTAACGGTTCTTGCCCTGTGTTTGTTTGTAAATCATTTTCTTCCATTGTTATTGAATCTTGAAGTTCTTCCAAGAGGGAGTTTTGGCTGGCCTTTGGTTGGTGAAACCTTAAGATTTCTCTCCCCGCATGCTTCAAGAACTCTCGGTGACTTCTTGGAAGAGCATATTTCAAAGTAATTACCTCACCCTTTTTATTTCTTGAATCAGGTAATTTTTATTTTGGTAATGTTCTGCGCTTTTTAGTGGCTTTCTGACAATCTTAAAAGCACAAGTACAAACAAATGAAAAGTACAGACACAGATTTCTCCTTGCTGTAATCTTTCTTTTGAATGATTAATTCAAATGAATGTGTTTGATTTTTCACTGTTGATCAGGTATGGAAAAGTATTCAAATCACATCTTTTCTTCTCACCAACCATTGTGTCATGTGACCTGGAGCTGAACCACTTTATACTTCAGAATGAAGAGAAGCTCTTCCAGTGCTGTTATCCAAAGCCTATTCATGGCATATTAGGAAAGTCCTCCATGATTGTTGTGGTAGGAGAGACCCATAGGAGGCTTAGAAACCAGGCTCTTGCACTTGCCAACATCACCAGGTCAAGGACTAGCTACGTCACTGACATAGAGAGAATTGCACTTCAGCTCATGGATTCGTGGAAACACAAAGAGAGGATCGTTTTCTGTGAAGAAGTCAGAAAGGTTTGAATGATATATAAGTTTAAAAGGTACGAGAAATTATCAGGTGAGCATAGCTTATGATTCCTTAGTTCAAAGGAATTGAAAGAGTGGAAATAAGAAGTAAATGAAACAGTAAAGGGTAAAGAAGTTCAAACGAATTTCACCCATTCATTTGGTTGACGAGAAGTTGAATGAAAGTAATTCCTCTTTTTTGTTAATTTGAAGGAATACTCAATAAATAGCACATTATTTTTACTTCTACCACCCAAGTTGTGATTCTGAATATACAGAGTTATACTGACATAAAAGGTTGACCCTCTGCACAAAAAAATCACGAGCTAAAATCACCTAATAATTTCTCGAAAAGAACATATTTCTTCAAATAGATGTGATAACTAATAATTCTCTCCCTTGCAAATTGTTGAGCTTTTGTGTAGTTCGCTTTCAGCGTTATAGTAAAGCAGGTGCTAGGACTTTCAATGCAAGAGGCAGAGTCAGCAAAAATCCTTGAAGATTTCTTAACTTTCATGAAAGGCCTCATCTCCTTTCCTCTATACATCCCAGGAACCTCATATGCAAGAGCAGTTCAAGTACCACTTTACCATATTATTTAATTAATTATTTTTTTGTGGATTTACATACATAACAGATAAACCTGATTTATTTATATATGCAACACCAAAAATTTTTTATTTACAAAAGTAAGAGAGAAATTAATTATTGTGTGCGGAATCCGAACTTGTTCGGAGGCGAATCCGGGCATGACACGTCACCGGGCCCAGTGTATCTGGTGACGTGGCGCATTTGTATTCGTCTCTAAATGCATTCGGATTCCGCACCCAATAATTTCTCTCTACTCAAAGGCTTTGTTTGGGACGACTTTCTTAATGCTTCTTAAAACAACTACCTAGTAAAAAAATTATTTTTTGTTAAAATAGTTTGAAGGGAAGTTTTCCATGATAGAAAGTTAACGGGGAGGATGAGAAATGTGTAATTTTTGGTGTTAATTAAACAATTGAGTTTTATTAAGTGAATATAAAATTTTGGGTGTTAAATATCTAAATAAGATATTTTTTATGTGTTATGTATGTAAATCCACTTTATCTATAAAAGCATTATTATTCCATCACCTTTTTCTTTCTTAACAGGCTAGAGCAAGGATTTCCTTAACAGTCCAAGCAATCATTAAAGAAAGAAGAAAAAATGGATTTGATTCCAACAAGATTGGGGACTTTCTTGATGTGCTCCTCTCCACTAATAGCTTATCCGATGAGGAGAAGGTAAGCTTTGTTCTTGATTCCTTGCTTGGTGGCTATGAGACCACTTCTCTCTTGATAGCAATGGCTGTCTATTTCCTTGGTCAATGTCCACCTGCTTTAAATCAAGTAAAGGTATGTATCTTAATATTTCATGTTATTTAGCTCTTATTAAGTTTGATTAATTATAATGATCTTACTTATTTCATTCAATTAATAGTTAGAGCATCAATATATCCGTGCTAATCTACAAGAAGCTGGCCAAGATATGAGCTTAGAAGAATTTAAGAAGATGGAGTTTACTCAATGTGTGAGTCTGAATTTTCTGTGTCAAGTTATATTAGTATAGCATATTTACTTTTAATCGCTTCTAAAGCAAGCTCTTTGTCCTTTCACTTGAGTCACCATAAATTAATAACTTCCTTCTTTAGGTAATCCATGAGGCACTTAGATGCGGAAACATAGTCAAGTTTGTTCATAGGAAGGCTTTAAGTAATGTCAGATTTAAAGGTAACTTAATCCCCTTAGGCTTCGTTTGGGATGACTTTTTCTTATTGCTTCTTAAAGCAACTTTTTAGTACTCATAAAAATTGTTTTAAGAAGCAATGAGAAAGTCTTTCCAAACGAAGTCTTAATTTATGACTTAGCTTTGATGTACAAAAATGTAATTTTCCTTATGATTTATGAAGTCACCTTTCATCCATGTTCTTTGAATTGTCATGATTGATTCTTATCTACTAAACTAATTGCATGTTTTAATGATTATTCATAACTAAAAGATAATGTTCTTGTGGCAGAGTACGTCATCCCTTCAGGTTGGCAGGTCCTACCAATTTTTAGTGCAGTACATTTGGATCCATCTTCTCATGCTGATGCCCAAATGTTTAATCCATGGAGATGGGAGGTGAGGAAGCTGTGATTTGCACATATTAATAAAATACTTTTAAGTTACTGGTTTTGCTTTAAACAAAGATTCTCTGATCATAATCACACTAGCTTTATGTCTTTTAGTTAAACAGTGGTTATCATTTCATAAAGCTGGTTGATTCTCCACATATTATTTTATCATAATATTATATTGCTAAATCATTCCATAGATATTATGAGACAAACACTTAACATATTGTAGTAGTACCAAGCTAGCCTTCTCAAGTTGTGAAAGATGCATTTATCTATCACTATAAATAGTGTAGATTATTTTAAGAATAAGACTGTTTATGATAGTTACCCTATCAACCAAGCTGATTTGCTTGTCCATGTTATATGGTAATGTCACACGGATCATATGTCCTTGTTAATTATGAATGTTTCTAATTGACGAACATTGAAAAGTTTGTGGTTGATGTTGTAATGAGATGTCAATATATGATTAGCGGTACCATCAATGAGAATAAAAATAATGTTGATACATCGTCAAAAAATTATCTTGATCGGGCACGAATCTCGATGCAGAATCAAGTTGGAAACTTCAAAAATTAATTCAGAGACCATCTGAACTCCGATTTCAGCAAACTTATAGTCGAACTGAGCGTCTCGGAAATACTTTTTCTCGTTCAGATCAATACAGTCATCCAGAGATAATTGCATTACAGAAAAGAAATACAACAACTACTATAATCCACATTTCAACATATATACAGTCTAAAGGAACGTCCAAAAAAATATGTATAATAGCCATACGGCTACAAAACAAAAGCCTGTCATAGGCTACAAAAACAAGACTACGCTAGCGACCAAAAAGCTTCACGCGGGAGGCTCTGTACCTGAAATATTAACCACATATAATGAGCTTAAATAGCCCAGCAGGTCACCAAAGCCTATAACTGAAATCGAAGCACGACACTGGAAACAATATGCAGGTCAATTAAATCAAGTCAAATCAATCAATCGTACATGATCAATGAGTCAATGCAGATACGAAAATCAATACGGAACAGAAATCAATAAAATCAGTAAACAGTAGGAAATCCATAAAGCTAAAAAAAATCAATGCATGCATCAAATCTCTACAATCTCTATCATAGCAATCGATAACATCGGTTACATCAATACAGTCGTCTAGCCATCTTACTTATCGTATCAGTCTATAATATCAATCAAATCAATAGAATGGAATTGTATCAAAACATACACTTGCAAATCGATCAATTATTCAATATCATTTTCTCCTTGTCAGTACGGCAACGTATGTATCCATATCCACAAAGAGAACAATCCAATGACAACCACGAACGATGCTACAACAGTGAAACCGCATCAATCAATTCAGTAAAGCAATTACTTCCGGTCAATAATAACAATCGGCTTAGAATCCCATAAATCGATCAAATCAATACATCGTAAAAGCAGTTGAAATAAATCAATACGATCGGCAAATACAATTGAAATCAATCAATGCAATAAAATCATATACAACAATCAAATCAATAAATCAATAAACAATCAACCAAATCAATCAATCAATCAATGATCGGTATTATGAATCAATGTATCAGTGGATCTATAGTATCGGTATTCGTATCAGTAGTATCAATCATGTCCGTGAATCAATGAATCCATAATATCGATAAATCAATAATCTCGGTATCTGTATCCATGAATCAATACAATATCCATATCCATAACGGTGTCGGTATCCATGAATCAATACAATATCCATATCCATAACGGTGTCGATATCCATGAATCAATAATATACAATATCAATGAAATCGTGCAATAACAGAAATCCATAAATCCGTCGATAAATCCAATCAGTACAACTTCAATTCAATACAATAAATTCGTCAATATTAATAAATCAATCAGAAATCAATAGGTCATGCCTATCAGGAAATCCATACAATACAATATCGTACACATGCAATTTCATACAATGGTCTTACTAAACAAGTACAAACACTGGCTATTTTGCTGTTGTAGAAATCCATAGTGCTGTTGTAGAATCCATATTGCTGTTGTAGATATCCATACGTTGGTTTCAATAAGAGTCGTCACTCTGTGCCCGTCGGCCGCCCGTCGGCATATTAAACTCCTTATGACTCCCAATCGTTATATCAATGATCAATGGTTTAAAGGAAAGCCCGTCAGCCCACCATCCTGTACAGGTCAAGTCAATCTCCAACCAACATTCAACCAGGTTCCACTTGTCTTTCAGTATCAATAATCATATAGTCACATTCATATGCATTCAAATTATCAATTTCGGGAAAATTGGAAATCGTACGAAAATCCAGCTGCATAACGGCAGTATACGGAATTTACACAAAAATCCTACAAAATCACAATTCACCAAATTACAATAGAATGTTCACGACAATAATATAAGACTATTACTCTACTAACTCAACATCAATAAACATCCTGATATTTTTCTATTCGATCAAAATCGCGTAGAACCCTAAATAACCGGTGAAATCGTTCCAGAAAATAATCAAATCGCGTAGAATATTCGTATCTAATATATTAAAAGTTGTGCGGTGAAAGTTGTGCAATACAAAACGGTGCGCGTTTTTCGATCACAAAAACACAAAACAATGCACAATACGATCAAAACTCAATATCTCTGAAAACAGAAATAGGATTCGGAGTCCTTACAGCGAGATAAACAAATTGCTCAACAGCGGCGACGGACGAAAAGCGCTCCGCGGCCTCCGAAAATGAACTTTTCCTTTGCTTTTCTTCTCTTTCTCACTCCTCAGATATTTTTGTTTTTATAAAATGATTTTCTCTCTCCTCAAAACGAGCTGATTTCCTTATAACATAAGCCTGATCGGCCCGGCCGATCGCCACATTGTCCTGGCTGATGTGAACAAAATCCAATCGTTCAGGACGATTCCTCAGGCCGATAATTTCAGTTTTTCTCTTGGGATTTTTGTCTCATCTGATCGTCCCAGGACGATCCAAAATCGGCCTGGACGATCCCATTCCAGAAAAATCAGCTGTTTCACTGCACTGATCGTCCCGGACGATCCTGGGAGAAAAACTCAAATCTTGGAAGACAAATCAAAGGAACGAGCTCTCACAGGTCAACCCTTTGTAACCGACTCAAATTATAGTGGAATCATTTTCAACTGGGCTAGACCCCATGGTTTTTCCCCTTTTTTAAGGGTTTTCCACATAAAAAATATTGTGTTCTCTGTGTGTGAGCTAGCTATCCGTACAACGCTAAGACGCAAAATAATAACTCTATAGCCGCGTATATTCTAGCCCGCAACAAATGTTATTGATGAAATTAAAAAAATTATAGAGAAAATACAACACAAAAACTATTATTTATATTGTTTGGCTTCAACCACGATTATATCTGTAGGAGAGGACAAAGTAATGAATCCACTAAACACATAGAGTTTATATTAAAAGTGTACCAATCAATAACACTAAGGAGCCATTTTCCAATTCCCAAGAAAAATTCATGAAGAAGAAACCCAAAATAATCTTGCAAAACAAAAACTAACTCTCAAACAATTCTTCCTTCTCACTTGCATCTCGAAGTCATCAATCATCCAAGAAGTATGAAATTGAAGGAGTGTGTGATTAATCTTAGAGATATCTATTACCTCCATTAAACCTTCGATCAAGCACCATAATAATATGCTTTGTCCTCGTTTGAGAAGTAAATATTGTGCATATGGATCAATGCATTAAATATAACAATCTTGGGAGGTTAACATATTGTTCTCTTGGCAATTCATCCCTGGTATTAATCCCAATATGGAATTATAAGAATTTTAGGTTTCCACTTTTATAGAGTAAGATAGGAATTGAAATATTCCTTTATATATTGTTTATAAATTTTAGGTAATTAATAGTCAATCAAAAAGCCTTATCCACTTAACAGAGCCAAATTTTGATTGACTAGGAAGCCACATATCGTTAGATTGAGATTAATCATATATTTATACAAAAGCATTAGAAGTTCCTTGACAGTATCTGAGCATAATCATTTTGTGCTCATCCCTTTCACCTACTTCTTGGCGAGCTGTTCTATCGCTCAGTTTGCCTAGCAAGTCAATTTTTCCTTAAAACATATCTGCAAGTAGAACAAATGAGAAAAAAATTATGAACCAGATATATATAAAAAAATCCAAAAAATTCAAGAGAGACATGATACAAGGCATATATAACAACATAGTCTAGAAATGATGTTGAACCACGCTGGGGACGGAGAGGGAGAGAGAATTTGGGGGAAAAAATATGATATGGGAGAGGGAGGCGGTCTCAGGATGAATATAGGTATTTTATTGGCAGTATTTATGATTGATTTTTTCATCTGAATTAAATAACATTTTAACCAAAATAAGTCTATCAGAAATTTTGAATCTGTCCAAATTATATAACATTTCTGCCAAAAAAGTTCGTCGGGAATTCCGCCATAATACTTAATAACAATTGAAAATTCTGCCAAAAATTTTTCACCGAAAATTTCATCAGCAATGCATATATTTCTTGTGGTGTATAGAAGTAGTCAGTAGTTAGCCATGTCTCATATGCTTAAGATTTTCATCTTCAAATGGGTTTGACCATTAGTTTATTTGGTCTTATTTTGATACTCTTCTAAGATTTATGCATCTTGATATGTAGTATCAAAATTGATGATTTAGGTGGAATCCAATGACCTATATAAGTTGTTGTTTTCACAAGTTTAGCAGACTAAGTATGGTCAAGTGAAGTGCTAAAGCAATCAACTCTTATGACTTCTTTACACAATTAAATGAGCTCTTAAAGCATTATAGGTTCCATTCAACTTAGAGTTTTATGTCTACAATAATATTAAATATGGTCCATTGTAAAATATATGAGTGGCATTTTAATTTAATTATAATATTTCAAAGGGTGGTGAGTTCCGATGGGAAAAACAAATCCCTCATGGTTGACTCTTTTAGTGTCACATTCCTTAATGTCCTCTATGAGCTGAACTCCTCATAACTCCACCTATTTCAAAGATATAGCAACTTGTTGGCCATAGACCCTTGAGGGAGCTCAACTCTATACAAACTAGGTTGACCAAAGATGAAATTCTAAACAGTCGAACTCTATCATGAGCTGAGATTATACTACGTTCGGGGCCTTCTTCTTATTGCTTTCTAAAATAACTTCCTAGTATAAAAATTTTACGTTTAAGAAATTTTTGTACTAAAAAACTGCTTTAAAAATAATAAAAAAAATGTCCCAAATAAAATCTTAGTTGAAATCAGAATGCATAAATTTTTAAATCTTCTTATTTTATTTCAGTATTTAGTTATTTTCCTAGATTTTCATATTACATAAGAATTTATTGAATCAGGATTGTTTTGATTTATGGACTCTCAATAGTGCACTATGGATTTGCAATCAGAAGCATTAGGGTGCATATCAAAAACATATGAAGGAATATTGATCATTGTGCTTCTACCTTTCTTCTTAGTGATATCTGAGAGCTACAAGAAAATGTTGTTTAACCTAAAGATTTCTTTAAGCCAGAAGTAAAACCAAAGCCATATTTGGACATAAGCTTCAGTAAAGTTGGACCATCTTTTTCGGAAAGCAGTTACAATTTCATTTAGCTACTATGTTTTAAAAATTTTGTGGTGGAAAGCTATATTTTGCAACTAGAATAGTTAATTTACTTTCCACACAATAACTTCACAATAAACTTTATAAAATGTTGTAGTCTCCCCAAATAAACTCTAAAAGCTTATAAATCATGCATGAATTCATTATATATGTTGCTCTCACCATGTTTCGGAAATTAATAGAAGGAAAAGATAGCTTTATTTCATTTGAAAAAAAACAAAAATTCTGTAGGGCCAAACACAGATAATAAGCAAGAGTTTTACTCCATTTGGTGGCGGAGCAAGACTTTGCCCTGGATTTGAGCTTGCCAAAGTGGAGGCTGCTATTTTTCTCCACCATTTTGTTCTAAACTACAGGTATTTCTACATTTAAACTTGTAAAATGTTGCTAAATTTCACTCAATTTATAAAATTGTTGTTATATTATTCATGTTAGTAGTGGGATAGCTGCAGCATTTTAAGAATTGATTTTCCGACAAATTCATAATCAACTTTATAAAATATTACAGCCGTTCCAAACAGATCCAAAATTTGAAAATAAATCCTGAACGGCCCCTTAATTAGTGTCTTATATTTATCCTAAATCTTCTTTTAATGTAGATGGAGAGCAGATGGTGAAGACATTCCAATGGCATATCCATACGTGGAGTTCCCAAGAGGCATGCCAATTTTAATTAACCCAATTTGAAAATACCTATTGATTAATTTGTAATTTTCTTGTAATGGTTAGAAGACATCTGATTAAATTACAAGTAATTTAATGTTTCTTTTAATGCTTTTTATTTTTTTACATCCTTTTATGTGTTAATGATGATAAAAGGTCTAAGATGCTAGATTTATGAGTATGTATTTATCATTAAATAATTATAAATCCAGTATATTATATGAAAAACGGAAAACTTAGATGATTATGTAATTATCAAATAAGTACCTGTACAAATGAGTTTTGACACGTGAAAATTTTTTGTTTTGCAGCTATAAATAGTCTTGGGATGAATCATGATAAATAAAAAGTATGGCTCTCACTCTGTTCTCGGAACAATTATTAGGTCCTCCGATCGGACGTAGAGGAACGTCCGGTCGGCACTAAAATCCCGCCAAAAAATTCGGTATTTGCTCGGTATTGCTAGTTATTATTTGATAATAACGAGGAATACCGCTCTGTGAAGGCCAATACCGAGTCATACCGAGCTATACCGAGCAATACTGAGTTATACAAAAAATACCGAGTTTTTCCTAGAAAAAACTCGGTATTTTTTTGTATAACTCGGTATTGCTCGGTATAACTCGGTATTGGGTCTTCACATGATGGTAATCCTCGTTATTGTTTGGTATTGCTCGGTATTTCTCATTTTTGGCGCGATTTTAGTTCCGACCGGACGAATTACTAGGTTTGAGTTTTTTTAAAAATGCAAGATGATTTTAAGTTTTCTTAAAAAATTCAAATTGATTTTTGGTTTTAAGAAAGTCTAAAATTAATTTATATTTCTAACTAATTTAGAAATTTCTTATATATACTAGTTTTATTGCAAGGGTATTAAATGCACGTAAATAAACTGTTAAAAATAAAAATTTATATTCTGAAAAGATAAAATTATTATTTATATCATGATTAATAAATTTTAATTATTAATTATATTAATAAAAGTGTGATAATTTTCTTAAAATTATAGTAGACAAAATAGATTAATATAATTTTACAATTCAATACTAAAAAACAAATATATTTTCTTTGTAGAACTAATATCATAAAAACAATCAATCCATATTTGCAAATAAAGCTGGTATTTCTTTATAAATATGACATTATAGCCTGACTTTGATATATTAAATTAAAAAGTATAAAAGAGATGTTGAATTTATTTTAATTCATTCACAAAAGATTATCTTACCCATAATAAAATTTTATTAACTCACAACATTTTCTTGGAATGTTCTTTTGACATTGAAATCTACATGTTATATGATGATGAGATTAAAAGTAAATGAACTCCATTTTGGAGGAATAACATTTTATATGTATGAAGTTGTTGATCTGATAGAATAATTTATTTAAGAAGATAAATTATCTCTTCGAGACACTAATATATAGCTTGTCCAAAGGTCAAAAGGCTCATAAATAGTATATCATGTTTAATTTCCTCTTCTAACATGCCAGAATCATATAAGATCACATGAAAAATCATGCACTTCACAAAAAATGAAAATTTTAAAGATTGGACAAAAAGTAGACATATTAATATTAAAATGTGGCTTGATTCTTCCCACAATAAATCTCAATCGTACATGTGTCTCAGTATACACATGTTTATGCATTCTTTTCTATCAAAGAGGTTCATAAATGCAATATCACTACTCAGTATGTAAATGTTTTGTCTACATATGTAATCCTCCTGTTACGTACTTTTATAAGTTATTTCCAATTTTAGCAGGAGGTGGATCCTAAAGTAGAAAATGATGATCTAACAAATGATGGAAGGATTGATAGTTCTCTCTTAGAGCTATCAAATGTCATTCAAGGAGTAGATGAGCCTAGAAGTTGGCAGAAATGTTGATGATTTTATTTCCTTATATATTGTATCACTTGGTTCTTCATATTCATACATTTCTTTGTAAAGGAGATGACTAATAGGATCTTTTTCTTTATATAATATGATTATTCACCTTATATATGAGTATTATTTTGCTTATCAAAATGAAAGCTGGTGGGGGATGAAAGTATAACAAGGCTGAAATCAACATCATTTCTTAGCACTTCAAAAGCAAGGAACGCAGTCCCTCACACTCCCACCCCCTGACAAACCAATTCTCGGTTGTTGTTGGACATTTAAAACCAAATTTCACCCTAACGGTCAAGTTGATTGTTACAAGGCTCTCCTTGTTACTTAAGGCTTCACCCAAGAATTTGGCATTAACTATATTGAAACTTCCATCCCAGTCGCTAAGATGCCTATTATTCCTATACTTCTGACCTTATCCCTTCAATGTCGTTGTTCTGTATGTCAAATGGATGTATATAATGCCTTCTTACACGGCGACCTTCAAGAAGAGGTTTCCATGGCTCAACCACCCAGCTTTATTGACAACCAATACCCCAATCACGTTTACAAGCTCCACAAATCCCTCTATGGCCTCAAGAAAGTACCTCGACAATGGTTTCATAAACCTACCTCCTCTCTACTTCAATTTGGATTCACCTTCAACAAGGCTGATCCATCTCTCTTATTATATTCCAGTTTCACCACACAACTCTACTTACTCATTTATGTCGACGACATACTTCTTATCGGAAATGATCAAACCACAATTAAAAAATTGTTGTCCCAATTGCAATCTGCATTCTCCATCAAACAGCTAGGTGAGGTTTCACTAATTCTTGGAATTTAAGTTGTTCAAACAGCCACTTGCTTCTTTCTCCACCAACAACATTATGCCTGGGAGATCCTAGACATTGTTAGATTCACCATGTGTATGCAAGTTGCCACTCCTATGTCGCTAAAATAATCGTTCGAACTGGTCGTCGATCAACTTTACAGTGATCCACACCTCTACCACTATCTAGCCAACTCACTTAATTATCTCATTGTTATAAGACCGGATATAACATTCGCAACAAACGTCATATGTCAAAGGATGCATCAGCCAAGGAATAAAGACTATCAAGCTTTGAAACACTTGCTCTGGTACGTCCAAGGAACATCTCACTATGGGCTTCCTCTTACTACACGTGACCTTCAACTACGTACATATACCGATGCCAATTGGGCATCTGAATCAACCGACCATAAATTAATCTCTTGTTTTTTGTACATTTCTCGACAACAATCTCATCTCCTGGTTCTTCAAGAAACAACCAATAGTAGAAAAGCCCTCGACTGAAGCAGGATATAGATCCCTTTCCTCAGCCACCTCTAATGTTCTATGGCTTCACCATCTCGTGGCTGACTTCAACCTCCATCAACCCTCTCCCACCATCATCTATTGTGACAACACCTCGGCTATAGCTCTTGCCAACAATCTGGTTTTCCACTCACAGCCCAAACACATCAATATCGACTACCACATTATCAACAAACACATCAACAAGAAGGTCATCATTGTCTCCCACATTCATTCCGCTGATAATCTTGCCGACATGCTTACAAATCCCCTATCAACCACATGCTTTCAAGATCTTCATCTCAAATTAACCATCAATTATCTGGATGATTAATTTGTGGGGGGCTGTTAGCACACCGTGCCAACTATATGCACATGACAGGACCATTCCAACCGCCTGTCATTCCACCTCATCCAGACAATCACCACAGCAGCAAAACGTCAAGAATATTCCTCTAACAAACTGTACGCACACACTCCGCACTTCTATATATATGTATATGACTTGCAACAAAGTTACTGATTGAATTTCAATGAAATAGTGAATCCTGCTGCTATAAGTACTTCCCTGTTCTTCTTTAATGTTTCTTTTTGTATTCCGTTTCTTTAATTCTATCAGCCTCTAGGTGGTGGTGGGAAGTTGGTACATGATATGTGGGCCATGATCTAGGACAGTTTGGACTGTGGCTTTAGCCAAATGTTGGAAGGGGATGGGAGGCAATTAAGGATAACAAAGACATATAGCAATGTTTTTAACTATTGCTTTTATATTATAGCGGTTAAAATAACTACACTTATAGCTTCTTAAACTTCAACAAATTCATTTCTGTTTTCACTATTTATATTTAATATCACTAATGATCATTGCTATAGGATAAAAACAAGTAACTTTTTTAAATATTTATTAAAATGATTATATATATAACTAACAATTGATTATGTTATATTCTCATTTAAAAGTAATAATATACATGATTTGATAGTTATCATTAAATGTATTTAAATTTAAACTGAGAACTTTATGATGTAATAATCATAGTATGTGCTATGTTGATTATGAAATGCTTAATCCCAAAACATTAATTGAGTATAGATAAAAATATCAAGATGTATTTGTACTTCTTTCATGCCTGAATAGGGGTGTAAAAATCGGTTTTTCAGTTCGGGTTCGGAGCAAACCCGAACTTGACCCGCTCTTAACATGTCCAACACGAACCCGACTCGAACATGACTAGATCTCCTAACCCAGTTGAGCGAGATGGAAGAGTGCGAGTGGGCGAGAGAGTACGAGCTAACCGGCGAGGGCGAAGGCGAGGGCAAGACAATTCTACCTATTTGTGGGTTAATCTAAATCCGACCTGTTTGTTAAACAATCTGATTGAATCTGAAAATTTTGGGTCAGATATAAACCAAATTTTTAGGTCGTATCATATATTAACACTCCTATGCTTAAAGGAATAATTAGCTCAGGATGTTTCTACCAAAATTTTACTCTGGAGACAGATGATGCAGGCCATGTGATTATTAGATAAGTTAACTAATACAATTTTTTACTTAAATTATGTGTTGAATGACAATACACAGTGAGCGTCTCTAGTGTGTTAAGAAAATTGCCCAACTAAGATTCAAATTATAATACATATGATACGTAACAAACAATTGGTCCAACCCAGTTGCTGAAATATTTTTCAGCTAAGATTTCTTGATGATCCATCTCTCTTACATGCAAATATGTAGACTTATTATTCACATATTTTCCAATTCCCACGGCAAGAAGCCTTTGATTATTCGCTATTAATCCTTCAATACTACTAGAAACATCTCTCCCTTGTTTAAAACTGTACCATGAACCAAATTAAGATTTGCTAAATAAAAAAATCAAATCAAATTGAACAAAGAAAATATTAAATCCTTCCAAAATATATTTTACAATGGAGCAGTGGTTTAATTCAGTCAGTTCGTAAATTTTACATGTTGAAACAAAGAATTCACCCCTCTGCACTGGAAATGTATTGTCCACTCCCACCAACAAATCTATATGTACATATAATAAACACACTACCACTTCAACTAATCATAGAAGCTCTCACCAGAACCCCTTGCAGGAAGCAAGAATTTCCTGAAAGACTTCAGCTATAAGCTCCCTATCTGCACTAAGGAGAAACAAATTGAAATCCTGATTGATCTCATAAATCTTGCCAAAGTGAACCAAATACCTCAAGCAACTACACTTCAGTTTTGGAAGTTGGTATAGATGCGCCATCTGGAGTCTCTCAAGCACATTCTTCGAATCAATATCTTCGGAGAGACTCTCATGGCAAGCCTCTCTGAGGTCCGACATATCGTACTTATCGGCGGCTCTGAGAAGGGCTACACGGTGAGTTAGAAACTCGTCGACACGGAAGTTTCCATATATATAGTTGAGGAAGGCTTGGCATGCCTCGAATGACATGTCGGAGATGTTGACGGTAGAGAGCTTCTTCTCTTGAAGGTTGTGGGAGAACATGCTCTGAAAGACAGGGGACTTTGTGGACAGAACAGCTCTGTGGGCGCCGATGCTGCCATTGCTTGCATTGATGGTGATATCAGTGTGGATGCTATCAGTTAACATCCTGCTGAGGGAGTTGAGGGATGTGAGGGGAGAATGTTTTTCTGTGTGGCAACCAGTCCAGATGGATAAGGGCTCCCCACCCTGTCAAGTACTCATTGTTAATCATAAGAAGCTTGGAGTTCAAAAAACAACAATAGCATACAATTTTAGAGCATTTGATTGGGGTTTATGATAAGCTAAGCTAAATTAAGCTTTAAGATGAGTTTAAGTCATTTGATTAGTGAGACAAATTAGCCGATGTAAGCTGAAATAAGTTGAGAAAACTGTTTTAACTGTATTATGACTTAAAGCCTATCTGTGGAATCTGTTATGGTGTCATAATTTATATTTAGGTATGAATTACTCTAAATAATTAGTACTAAAATCTTAATTTTTAACGTTATCTTAAAATATTTTAAGCATACCAAAACAACTTAGTTAAAAGCTTCGTGATTATCAACAAATTTTGCAAAATCAGTTTAGTTTGGCAGGTCAGAATGTTGTACGGTCGAGCAATTAGTATTGTAACTATAGAGGATTAGCATCCAAGAAAGACATATCCTAATGGTGAGGGATTTTTAGAGTGAAGAACACTCAATTTTGATTTCTCCCTAGCAACGATGGTTGTAAGTTCAAGTTTACAAAAATGTCGCCAGAGATGTTTATTTTTAGTTAGGAATAGTTGATGATTGATAATGAATTTGAAGGAGAAAAACCTAATCAAAGAGAGAAATTACTTACAGATTGAGGAACAATCTTGAGATCAAGGAACTCGACGTCAATGATGAACTTTCCTGCAAAGGTATCGACTGCCCAGACAAAGTAGTCGTTACTCTTTAGCTGTCTGTCACTAATTCCTGCAAACTTAAAAAAATACTTCGACTTTACATTGGAAGTTTCCAATACATGTTCCCACCTCATCATCCACCATATACAAACTTAGCATCCATCACCATGAATAATGGAAAAACAAGTGAAAGTAGGAAGAAAAAAAACCAAGAAAATGGAGAAGAGTGGACCTGGATGAACAATGGTTTTGCGATTAGAAGATGAGGATGAGACAATTTTGATGATGAAGGAAGCAATTGGAGGTTGCTCCTTTGTCACATTTGACGCTTCCGGGCATAGCTTCACAAATAATTGCTTATTTCTTTCCAGTGTCAAATACCTAATCAAAATTCAGAACATAGAAAAGCATTAAGCAGAATAATTCACCACTTAATGCACAATCCAAAGAGGGCAACAAAAGTAAATGATTCACAAGAATGCAACAAAGAAGAGATTGCAGAGCTTTACAGAATATTTGGGGTAAGAAGAGACCATCATTTAAAAAGGCCGGGCATAGATTTAATCATTAATGCGTTTGCTCACAGACAAGATAAACAGCAGTAACTCAATCTGAGAAAAGGACAATTTTTTTTTTTTAAGTTGTATATACAAATGTATGCATTGATATCACCAAAAAAAAAAAATCTTAGGAGATAAAAAAAATCATTATATCAATTTTCGCTTGAATTGAATTTAATGATCGACACTAGATGAATAAAGCCTGCAAACAGACTTAATTTGACTCGAGAAGAATCGCATTAGAGCAGATATTGAGTAGAGGTCGATTCCTCGAACTCGTACCAATGAAAAGTCTATCTATCTATAGCTTTACTCCGCAATTTTCCAAAATAATCCAAAAAACTCGAACAGAGAACAATTAACAAAGGGGATTCAGCATAGAGAAACCCATAGTCTAAATTTAAAGAGAGAGAGAGAGAGAGAGAGAGAGAACCAGTTCCAGAGGCCCATCTTGAAGGGATCCGACTTGCGATAAGCGAAAGCAGAGAGGGATTCGATCCTCCATTGGGCGAGCCTGGGAGTAGTATCGACTCGATGAGGCGAATCGCTCATCCCGGCCGTCGACGATGATGCTGCCGCCGCGATCGCTGCGGCGACCTCATTTATGCAATTAAAGATCCCAAGCAGCTCACCGGGCTTTCCCAGCTTGGCTGCTGCTTCAATTCCTCTCTGCCCCTCATCAACACAAAATCGCCGACAAGAAGAAATAAATTCAACACTGAAATCTCCCAAATTTCTACAAGAGCGGTTTGGGTTTAATGATTCTCATTAAGCGGATGAGTCCAGCACGCGAGTGGTTGGGAATTGCTTTTACGCCAGTAACTTAGAAGTGATTTCTCCGAAAAAGAAAAGGCTTTCTGTTTTGGATCCGATCAGTTGGTGCTGCGAATGCTTCTTTTTATGGACATCGAAACACCCTCCTATAGAATGAGAAGGTTAGTGATGAAATCAGAGCCGTTCATCAGATGCTTTGGCTTAACGACTCTGTTGCTTGTCTTCGCTTATCCTCGTTGACAGACTAAACTGCCCGTCTACTCGCAAATATTTTGGGCTTTTATTTTTGAAGGCAGAATTCGTTTGTTAAAATTTTAAATATATTTTAAAAAATAATGAAGTATAATAAATTTCTATTTTTGTGGAGTCGTTTAAGTCAATTAAGATAAATTCACACGTAATATTTGCTTTGAATTCAAAACTTTTTTATTGCCTCTAAAATAAAATTTTTATTATATAAATTAAAATTTATGTATTAGAAATTATTTTAAGAAGCACTAATAAAGTCGTCCCAAACGAAACCTAAAACTCCTACCCAACACATTAAGATGAGCTAGGTAAATTTTTAATTCAGTGACACAACTCATCTTGATATGTTGGTTGATAACTTAAACTACCAACTAAGATTTCTTAGGTTCAAGTCGTTATGTATGTGATGTGTGTGTGTGAATGTCTTAATTAACCAAAGGGTGCGAACGAGTCGAGTCGAGCTCGAGCCAGGGGGTGTTCGAGTCGAGCTCGACTGCCAGAGCCCGAGCTCGAGCTCGACTAGTTTCGAGTTGAGCAGCTCGTCGAGCTCAGTCGCGACTCACAACTTGCGTCGTCTCGCCCACAACAAGCGAGCCCCCGTGTTGTTTCTGATCGAAATGCCTTAACTTCCGATCCCACAGGAATGGAAATTCGTCGAAGGTGCCGAAGAAGTGCTCAGAATGGAGAAATTTATCTTCATTGCACACGAGCTCCCGTTATTGCTTCCGATCCGAATGTCATAACTCCCTATCCGACACGAAGGTAAGGTCGTCGAAGGGGCAAGGTCGAACAATCAAGAAGGAGCCAGAGAATCGCCCGATAAGGAGAAAGTTGCCCTCTCACTCAACCAGCTCCCTTCGTTGCTTCCACGGTTCTGCCCAAAATGTCGTAACTTCCTATCCGACATGAAGGGAATGTCGTCGAAGGGGTGAAGAAGCGCGTCGAAGGAAGGGAATGTCGTCAAAGGGGTGAAGAAGAGCACCGAAGGAAGAAAGTTTCCCGCTGTCCATTTCCTTTTCCCGCTCGCTTGCGATTTCCCGCTTGCCATTTCATTCGCGAGCTGCTCGACGAGCTCGAGCTCGATTAACAGTCGAGGTCGAAATCGTGTTCGAGCTCGACTCGCGAGCTCGATAAGCTCGACTCGTCGAGCCTATTACCGAGTCGAGCTCGAGCCGGCTTAACTCGGTTGCACCCCTAAATTAACCTAAATTACTAAATAAAAAAAAATTCAATTCAGTGTTGATATATAATTGAATGGTAAGGGCCTCTCCAACTGAAAATCTCATTTTTCACTCCAAAATGTCGTGAAACTAAAAAATGTCGGGATTCATCTCCAATAGAACTTCATTTTGCCCCATTTTGTCAAGGAAACGATCGTTCTCTTCTTTCACGCGTTTCTTCGACATATTTGGTAGGGATAGAAAAATGGCGAAGATGAATAGTGTAACGTGAATATTGACATCCCACTAATCACCCGCAACTAAATAGTAAAAAATTTACCATTCGGCTGGAGCTCGCGAGCGACGTTATTCAATCGTTTGGAGTTCGAGATGCCCTAAGAAAGCTAGGTGTATATATATATCGTCATATTGATGTCGTTATACTTTCAAAAGGGTATATTTGGCATTCGTCATAACCAAGAATGGCCCCGCTGAATAATTAAGGGTGCAGATTCGAAGGGAATAAGAAAGAAAGGATTCATGATTCCGTTGGTGGGGCCACGGCTTTGATAAATATCATCTACACGTCAGCTTGCAATTACATCTGGACCGTCCAGCTGGATATTCGAGTCGTGACCGATGTCGATAACAACAAATTCTCTTCACATTGCATTCCGAGTGCGAGTTGGTAATTCTACGTTGATAAACATCATTTTTTTTCCCTGTCAATAATTTGGCGAGTAATGGGACACGTTAGTTGGTGAGTACATGCGGACCATCCAGCTGGAGATCGTTACCGTGACCGGAGGGTCATTTGGACTGCAACTTCGTATCTATGTCGATAATTTCATTATTTTGAAATTTATAAATTTACGCAAAAAAATAGATATATCCAAGGTTGTCAAACTCGAATCGGACAGGAGAGGTTCACGATTTGACCGTTCTAATCGGGATCGAACCAGATGATATAATAAATACTAAACATTATTTAAATTTAATAAAATTAACATAATAATAATGTTATCATTCAAAGTATGAGACAAAAAATTAAACTAAAAAAATATTGTATTAATAAATTAATTTTTTTATTAACTAATAAATAATTATCATTCACATAAAAAATAATTAATTAAAAAATCTGTTTAAAAATAGGTTTTGTACCCATTATATATGCTATGAATTCATACACTCCTCAACTCTTTTCTTTAGTCCCACATCCCCTAGAAACACTTTCTTGCTATTGTTTATATAATCTTTTGAGTTTCATTGCATGAAGAGCTCACATTGGAGTGGTCATGTGAAGATGTTTCTGAAGAACTAGATGATCGGAGGAGCAGAAAGAACTAAACAGGGAGAACAGGAAGAACGAAACAGAAGAAAAAAAATGTTTTTTTATCCATCTCATCTCAGTACAACAAGTGTCCTTATATAGGCATCTATACAAAGCATAGGACCTGCCACCAATCACATGTGAACACCTGTTATTAATTACTGATATATTTATTTATTTACATTGATTTATGGACTAATATCCCCCCTCAAATTGATGGGTCTCTGTGTAACTGTCAATTTGTCGCGCAAGAGTTTGAAACGAGGTGTGGATAAGTATTTGGTGAAGATATCAGCTATTTGATCAACCGTACTGATAGGAAGGAGACGAACATTGTTCTGATGGATGTGATCACGGACAAATTTTTGATCTATCTCAATATGCTTTGTCCGTGCATGAAACACTGGGTTTTTGGCAAGAGCTATGGCGGACATATTGTCACAATACATGTTTGTGGGTTGATCATGCAATATACCAAATTCTGCTAGAAGCCGGTGTAGCCATATGACATCGGAAGTGAGAGCGGCAAGGGAACGATACTCAGATTCAGTAGACGATCGAGCAACGGTGTGTTTCTTTTTAACTGTCCACGAAATGAGTGTGCTGCCAAGAAACGAGCAATACCCAGAAGTGGATTTCCTCGAGTTCGGATCCCCAGCCCAATCAGCATCTGAAAAAGAAGTAAGAACAAGATCAGATTTATTTATAGGAATACCATAGTCTATTGTACCTTTTATGTAACGAAGTAGTCTTTTTAAGAGATAAACATGTTGAGGCAATGGATTGTGCATATGCTGTGAAAGTTGGTTGATACTGAAAGCAATATCAGGTCTAGTTAACGTCAGATACTGTAATGAGCCGGTAATTCTTCGGTAGTTTGTTGGATCCGATAGAATAGGATCATTCGGCAATTCTGTAGGAATTTTAGCAGTGGTTGGATTCGAAATAGCATTGCATCCTGTCATGGCAGCCTGTTGGAGTATTGAGTGGGCGTATAGTGGCTGGGATAAGAAGTAGCGCTGTTCGGAGTGATCGATTTGAATTCCAAGAAAATTGTGGACTTCACCGAGCTTTTTTAAATCAAACCGCGTGCTGAGCTGCTGGATTATGGAAGAAATAGCCTGCACATCATTACCAGTTACAAGTATATCGTCGACATATATTAGAAGAAAAATTTGAATATGATTGGATTTGTAAAGTAAGAGTGATGGGTCAACATTACTGTGCGAGAAGCCGAGAGAGATGAGATAGTTACTGAAAGTGTTATACCATTGTCGAAGGGCCTGTTTTAGGCCATAAAGAGCTTTATGAAGTCGACATACGAAGTTCGGATGGGATGTGTCCTCAAATTCTTTGGGCTGCGACATGAAGACTGTATCCGTAAGATCACCGTGTAAGAAAGCGTTGGCGACGTCAAGTTGCTGAACAGGCCAGTTGTGATGAATGGCAAGAGCAAGAAGAATACGAATAGTGGGAAGCTTGTCTACGGGACTAAATGTCTCGGTGTAGTCAAGCCCAAACTCCTGATGATTGTCGAGAGCAACCAACCGGGCCTTATATTTGGCAATCGAGCCGTCAGCGTGCTGTTTAATCCGATATGTCCATTTGCATCTGAGTATAGATGCAGTAGGTGGTGCAGGAACCAAGCTCCAGGTTCCTTGACGCTGTAAGGCAAAAAACTCATCAGCCATGGCCTTGCGCCATTCAGGTAATTTACTTGCCTCAATGTAATTTTGCGGAGCAATTAGATTATTACTGTAAAGATGAATGTGAGAAAGATTTAGACGTTGCAGAGGTTTAAGAGAGCCAGTCTTATTCCTAGTAAGCATGTGATGAGTGTTGGGAGCAAGATGAGGAACATATTGAAGATCAGTAGAAGTAGGAAGTGAATCGGTGGAAGCAAAATTGTGAGTAATGAGGGTAGTATCAGGAGTAGGCAGAGAAGTATTGGATAAATTAGCTGAGGTCTTAGCATCCGAACTAGGAAGAGAACAAGATGCTGGCAGGGAGGTTGGAATTAAGAGAAGTTCAGATAAAGGCGGTTCAACATTTTTGGTCAAGGTGGACTGAACAGTAGAGAAAGGAAAAGAGTTTTCATGAAACACAGTGTGACACGAGATAATGATTTTGTTTGTGGCACGATCAAGACACTTGTAGCCCTTGTAAGTGTCAGAATAGCCGAGGAAGACCATTGATTTGGATTTGGGTTGAAGTTTATGGCGATGTTGAGATGGGATAAGAGGAAAGACTTCGCAACCGAATACCCGCAAATGACTATAATCAGGAGAAATATTGTGCAAGATTTCGAAAGGTGTAAAGTTTTTAATTGTTGGTGAGGGCATTCTGTTTATTAGATAGACCGAGGTTAGAACCGCATCAGGCCAGTAGGTATAAGGCATGGAAGCCGTAGATAGAAGAGTTTGTGTGGTTTCAATGATGTGTCGGTGCTTGCGTTCAGCGACCCCGTTTTGCTCAGGAGTATAGGGACACGAAATTCTATGGGTAATACCGTGAG